GTTGTATTTCTTCGCCTTCTTCTATACCTATTATTCTCAGGTTTGGCTTCTTCACAGTGTCCCATATTTCCTAGATATTTTGTGTTAAGGATTTGTTGGTTTTGAGATTTTCTTTGGTTGACGACTCTATATCCTCTAATGAGTCTTCAACACCTGAGATTCTCTCTTCTATCTCTTGTATTCTATTGGTGATACTTGCATCTGTAGTTTCTGATCATTTACCCAGCTTTTCTATTTCCAGCATCCCTTCTTTATCGTTTCTATTTCAGCTTTCAATCCTTCAACTGTTTGAGTTGTTTCCTTCATTTTTTTTTTTTGGTTGTTTTTTCTTGGTGCTCTTTAGATTCTTTGAGAGATTTGTTTATTTCTTGAATTTTTCCCCCCATTTCATGGATTTGTTTGTTTGTTTTTTCTTCTATTTCTTTAAGAGATTTCCTCGTTTCTTCTTTGAGGGTCTCCATCGTCTTCATGAAATAATTTTTAAGGTCTGTCTCCTCTTCTTCATCTATGTAGTGCTTTTCAGGTCTTGCTGGTGATGGATCCCTAGATTCTGGTGGGGTCATGTTGGTCTTTCTATTGCTGAGTGAGCTCTTTTTTTTGTTTGTTTGTTTGTTTTTCTTCAATTCTTTTTTTTTATTTTATTTTCCAGTTTAAATTTAGATAAGAATCAAGGTTGCTTCACAAGTCAGTTCCAGGTCCCTCTCCCATTCCCTCCCTTCCTCCCGTGCCCTCCCCTCCCCCCCCTCCCCGTTATCCTCTCATTTCTCCAGGGAGGGTGAGGCCCTCCATGGGGGTGTCCATAGTGTGTCATTTCATATAGGGCAGGGCCTAGACCCTTTCCCAAGAGTTCAGGGTGAGAGTGCACCTCACATTGTTCTATTGGAGTCCAAAGTCCGTGTGTATACTTGGGATGGGTACTGATCTGCTGCCCAAGGCTCAATAGATTCCCTAGGCCTCTTCACTGACACCCAGATTCAGGGGTCTTGATCAGTCCCATGCTGGCTTCCCAGGCTAATGCCTGGGATTCAAGAGTTAACCTTTGTCTGGTCAGCTGTTTCTGGGGGTTAAACCAGCCCAGTCTTAATCCCTTTGATCATCAGTCCTCCCTCTCTGTTACTGGCTTTCTTGAGTTCAGCTCAGTACTTAACCAAGGGAGTCTGCCTCTTCTTCGATCAGCCACTAAATAAAGTTTCTGTTTCCCAGACTCTCTGGCCATAGGATTGTAGGCTGGCACTCCCCAGATCTATGTCTAAAATCCATATATGAGAGAGTACATGCCATGTTTCTCTTTTTGTGACTGGGTTACCTCACTCAGGATGGTTTCTTCTAGTGTCATCCATTTGCCTGCGAAACTCATGATTCCATTATTTTTTTCTGCTGAATAGTACTCCATTGTGTAGATGTACCACATTTTCTCTATCCACTCTTCAGGTGAGGGACATCTAGGTTGCTTCCACGTTCTGGCAATTACAAATAAAGCTGCTATGAACATAGTGGAACAGACCTCTTTGTTGTATGAATGGGCATCTTTTGGATATATGCCTAAGAGTGGAGTTGCTGGGTCTTGTGGTAGGTTTATTCCCATTTTTCTGAGGAATCTCCACACTGATTTCCAAAGTGGCTGAACCAGTTGGCACTCCCACCTGAGTGAGCTCTTATACTGTCTTCTTCCCATCTCTTCTTCCAGTGGGTGCTGGTGGGGTCTTTCTGTCTCCAATGGTCTCCTTCCTTCCTGCAGCTGAAGCTGGGGATGCTGACACCGGGTTTGGGTCCTGGAAGGGCTGATGTCTTTCCTGAAGCTGGACTCGCTGGGGTTTGGGGCTTGGAAGGGCTGATGCCTTTCCTGTGTGGGCAGGTCTTCTGGATGCCAGGAGTGGCCCCGGAAGATCAAGGGGATGGGTGTTGGGTGGGCGGTCCCCGCCGGAGACCCAATCTCACCTGAAGCTGGACTTGCTGGGTTTGGGGCTTGGAAGGGCTGATGTCTTTCCTGTGTGGGCGGGCCTTCTGGATGCCAGGAGTGGACCCAGAAGATCGAAGGGATGGGTGTTGGGTGGGCGGTCCCCGCCAGAGACCCAATCTCACCTGAAGCTGGACTCATTGGGGTTTGGGGCCTGAAGCTGGACTCGCTGGGGTTTGGGGCTTGGAAGGTCTCACCTGGTAGTTTTCTATCACCTGCAACTGCACTGAGTGTTCAGATTCTCTGGTCAGGAATCCCCTGAGGATGTGTTTCAGGATGTGGCCAAGCACCTACAAGAGGAGGAATATTATAGAGCAATGTAAAAGTTGACTGAGAGCTCCAATTTCTCCAAATAGAAGACCTGTGTTCTTGGCAGGTTTACTTTTAGTGTGATTCAGGGGCTAAAGAGGCCGGTATAATGCCCATTGTCTTTCAATGTGACCTTCCCTAGGCCAAAATCATTAGGGTCTCCTCAGGGATGTCTGATTTCAGGGAATAATTTCTCATGGTTGCCCTGGTACTTTGCAGGAAGCAGGCTCTAAGAGTAAAGGAGGAAAAGTGTTTTCCCAGAAGCATGTCTACACATAGGCACTCTGATTCTTGAACCCCATCTCACGTCCTCTGTCTACCTTAGACAGGATACACACTTGGTGAAAATGAGCCTCCACAAAGATCCTGTCCCAAAGACCCTGCAAACATCAGGAGAGAAAAGATGGTAAATAAGAGATCTGGAGTTGACCTATGAGACTCTATGTAATCCACCCATACCAAACTGGTCAATGTTGCAGTGTCCATAGTCCAGTGGATGTATTGTCCCAACCAAACACATTATGTCCAAAAAAGCATCTCAAAGACTCATCTCTGTGAGGAGGATACCTGTGGACAGCTTTGAGCTGGTGTTTATGAAGGTCCTGCTCTAAGTAGCTCAGACAGGTTACACTGCTCCTACTCTATCCAGCCAATAGATAGTGAACAGGGAGGTGCTGTCAGTGGGGGGCCTCATCTGACTTCTGTTGTCTCAGAAGAAAAGGCAATAGGCAGGAGCATGCCTTTCATTGTAGGGACACACAAAGTTCCCATCAGACTCAAGGGAAATGTTAGTAAACAGAAGTAAACATCAAATCTGTTCATTTGAGATTTGCTTTCTTAAGCCCCAGCTTAAGAAGCCAGTGATTTTCTTAGGTTGTCTGTCCTGGGTTAGACTGTCCAGGCCACAGCACCCAAGTTTCCCTTTCTCTGGTGCTGGCTTCAGTAAAGCACATCAGGACAGAAACTAGCCTTAGCAATCACCACTGATGTAGAGCAGCATTGCCCACATGAGCAAGAAGCTCAGTAGCGCTGTGCTATTTTCCTTGCAAGGTTGTGTCCCCACACATGTTTGTGGTTCCTCAGCCCAGTACAGAGTAAGTAACTGCTCAGTTTCAGAGTTACTGTCTTACCATACAGGGGTAAGAAGATGCTCACTCCTTCTACAAAACTGCTCCTCCTTTAAGGTTAGGGGATAGAGGGTTAGATGGGAAAGAAGCTCTACTTGCCACAAGTTATGCCAAGATCCCTCTCAATGCATAACTGTGTTGTCTCTCATTATGACTTTGTCACTCTGCATCCTGTGCTCAGTGACAATTTTCCTTAAAATTGAAAATGGCTGGCTTTGGCAGCCTCATGCTTATTTGTCTGTAGATCAGTGTCAAGAATAGTCCAGATTACAGAAACATCTCTCATACAACAGGACTATATAGATAGTCTCATTGTTGCCTTTAGCCCTGTGAGGCCCACAGATGAGCCTTGACATTTAGTCCCTTCTGAGTGGCCACTCTTCGTTCCAGATAGCAGTGATCTGTCTCAAATATGTTCATGACATCACCAAAGACAACTTTCACAGGAGAACCCCCAAGCAGACAGCCTGGCAGAATACCTCAACTCTAACGTCACAAGGTTCTGTCTAGGTCTAACCTCTGATGTGGGATTTGAATAAAAAGTAATCCCAAGACTGAGGACTAAGTCATGAGTCTACTGTGCTGCAAGACAGGCAAGCAATACCCACCTTCCAAAGTGGAGCAATATCCCAGCTTTCCATCCACAGTGGTACCCATTTCCTTCCAGCTTGCTGTCACCTTCCTGTTAGGAGACAAATATGCTGCTGACAAAAGTCCCACAGTAAGGCCCCCTTCACTGAATGCTAGACTGAACCAGCATTGTGCAGTGGGACCGTGATGCCTGTGGTAAGAGGGACGATGGGATGTAGGCAGGCTGCAAACATAGCATCAGGGAAGGGAGCTAGAGGGAGGAGAAGGGCCACCTCTCCCTCCGTGTGACAAAACATCTCCCTTGGACCTTATCTTGAAGGTAAAGAAAGACAAATGAGTATATTCATGAAGACTGTTCCTTCGGGATGTCTAATTCATGGGCAATTTGGAGTTGAATTTTGACACAAGACTTCACTCTGAGAAGAATGCTTTGGAAGGCCATCCTTATGACTTAGCCTTGTTAACTCTGGTTTACTATGGAGAATTCAGCAGTAGGTGATGGCTTACCTCCTCCTGTGCTGGACTTCTCCCCTGGGTTAGTGGACACACTGCCATCTGGACTTCCTGCAGGGCTCCCACTTCGGCTGTCTCAGTCACACCAGGAAAATTCCTACCTCTTGTTTCAACATTCATAGAGACTTACCACTTCAGAAGATAATGACATATGCAAGACACAGTCTTAAGAACTTTGAAATATATAGTTCAGATTCTTGAATCTTATTTCATTCTGGGCCATCCATTTTCAAGTGGTCCCTTCCCTCACACTCTTCCCTAGCTTTTGGAGTTTTATTACCCCAAAACATTTGAACCACTCCTATCTTCTCCTGTTTTAACTAATTTTTGCCGCCTCTTCAAAACACCGCTTCTCATTCTCTGTTGTTTACCTTCAGCTAAACCATTTCATGCTAATGGCTATGGTGGTGCTATAGGACTAATCCTTTAGAGATAAGATTTGGTAATTTTCATTTTCATAACTATCATGTGATGGTGGCAGAGGACATTAAAAAATACATCGATTAAGAAACACAGGAGTGCATCTTGGATGCCCCATGCAGCTGCATGTGTGCAACCGCACAGCTCTCCACTTCCACTGGTTCCGCTTCCTTCTGGGAAACATGGCTTCTCTTGCCGGCCGGTATGCAGCAGCATAGTCGTCTCAGACAATTTCCAGTTCTCTTCTTTACCCTCTTCCAGCCTCGGGATAAACGGCTGGCAGAGGCTGCAGTTATGACTTCAGGTGTGACATCTTCAAAACTGTTCTTTGATATTTCCTGGATGTAAGATCTCTGGATTTTAGTTGTATCTTCAGGAGTGACATCTTCAAAGATGTTCTTAGATGATGCCTGATGAGAAGATGTCTGGATTTCAGGTATGCCTTCAGGAGGGACATCATCAAAGGTGTTCTTAGATGATGCCTGAAGGGCAGATGTCTGGATTTCAGGTATGCCTTCAGGAGGGACATCATCAAAGGTGTTTTTAGATGATTCCTGAAGGGAAGATGTCGGGATTTCAGGAATGCCTTCAGGGGGGGCATCCTCAAAGCTGTTCTGGATGTCATATGTGGCAGTGGTATTCACGATGCAAGGTATCTCCCTGTAACTCCCTGAACTCTGAGTGTATGAGCTATTTTGGGGGGTGTTCACATCCTGGGGTGCCTCACAGGACAAACATTTTGCAGAAGAAATGCTCTCAGAGGACAGGGATCTTGGGGATGACCAACTGCAAATCATGCTATCTACTGCCAAACATCTGCTCTTGACATAGGTAATTTTACGACGAGCCAATTTGGGGGCTGGGGGTGGACGTTTGTTTCCCTTCTGCTGGCAGCACAAGGTGGCAGGCATGCTCAGGCTTCTCATGGTCGTCTTCCTTGATCCCTTTTCATCATGCACCCGGTGTTCCTCCAGCAAGGTGGGAAGTGCAAGCTCACTCAGTCTCCTCCGAGAAGGAATGCTAGTGAGAGCATCTGCTGGGGACTTAGCAACAGAGGCCCGCAAGAACTTCTCAGTATATTTAGAGTGGCCACGGGGTGAATTGTGGTTTAAAATTAGGTATGTGGCCATGATATTATTGAATTTTTTCTCATGTAGGCAAGCACTAATGTCCTTGGGGTGGTAGCCCATACTGCACATATCCACCACAACGCTTGGATTTGGGTTGTTACAGAGTGCCTCTAAGGATGGTGTGATTTTCCAAATTTCTTCCTTTGCCTTGACCCACTGGTGCCGCCTAATGTCATCTATCTTGGGCCTCTGCTCAGGCTTCACAGTGAACAACTGCACAATGATGTTTGCTATGTTTTTTGAAAGTTTGTAAGGGAGGTGGTACTTGGGATCCTGCATCTCTTCCTTCATGTCTGAATAGGTATTGCCTTCAAATGGAAAGGATGACGTCACCATTGCATATAAAACCACTCCCATGCTCCAGATGTCAGCTGCCATGGCATCGTATTCTTCGTCAGAGAACAGTTCTGGAGCACAATATTCAAGGGTTCCACAGAACCCCTTGGTGCCTTGGCCAGGGGTGACACGGGTGGCCAGGCCAAAGTCACACAGCTTGATGTTGCCTTTGTCATCAAGCAGCATGTTGTCCAGCTTGATGTCTCTGTGTGCAATGTCATTCTCATGGCAATAGTGAACTGCACACACTAGCTGTGCAAAAATATGCTGGGCCTGCTCCTCCTGCAGAGAGCCCACCCTTTCAATGTGGCTCACCAGATCTCCACCAGCAGCATGTTCCAACACCATATAGGTGTATTCTTTGGTGTTGATGATATGGAACAGCTTGATGATATATGGGTGGTCCAACGTTTTCAAGATGTCGAGTTCGGTTTGGATGCTGAAGTCATCATTTGTTCCATTTTGCAGGACCTTGATGGCAACTTGTTCCTCTGTTTGAAGATGGTAGGCAAGCTTCACCTCAGCAAAGTTCCCTTTGCCAAGGGTCCTGAGGATGCCATAGTGATCGGATAGTGTCTCCTTTCCAGAGGTACTGGCCTTCAGGTCCAGCTGCATTGTCACCTTCTCACTGGTCTTGTTAGTGAGGTTCTTGGTAATATCCATGACAACACCAACTGAGAAAACCAGATTAAAACAAAGAGAAGTTGGTCTTGGGGAAAGTTTATAGCTTTCAGTTTCTACATGGAGAAGTGTGACAGATGTGAGGCAAACTTACATTGAACTCGGTCACACAAATAAAAATAAGAATAAACTAAACTCCAAAAAGAAATTTGGAAAATATACTGTAGATGAGAACTGAATCTAAGGAAATAGACAATAATCAACATTGCAAAGGCATAAAACCTTGATTATTGAAAAGGGCAGGCCGGGCGGTGGTGGCGCACGCCTTTAATCCCAGCACTCGGGAGGCAGAGGCAGGCGGATCTCTGTGAGTTCGAGGCCGGGCTGGACCGATAGCCTCCAAAACAATCCAGAGAAACCCTGTCTCGTAAAAATTAAAAAAAAAAAAGAAAAGAAAAGGGCAAACAAAACAGACACCACCTTACCAAAAGTGATTAAGTAGGAGAACAGTTTAAATCTATAGTCAAACTATGGTGCTGTTACAGCAAAAATGGCTGGAATGTAAAGAATCATTTGGAAGTATTTATTTTGGCAACTAACATAACCATTCCTGGGAATAAATTTTTCTCCACTACTGAGTTCTCAATAACCTAAATAATGGAAATCCTATAGCCATAAACAGTTGAAATACTTTCTTAATGAAAAGTATAGAGTACAAATAGTAACAGAGAATCAACATTCCTGAAGAAATATCTAAATCAGAGGGAACAGAAATAATCATGGTACACAGTTTAACAGATGCTCTAATATGCTGAGAAAAGAAATGCAGATTTTAAGAAAAATATTTCCATTATCAAATTCTAAGGTAATCCTTTAACAGGCATCAAATTTACCTATTTTTCCTGTTCCCAAATAGTCTATTTTACTCTACATAATTTGGTGAGTATGATGATGCCATATTTGTCTTTAAATAATGTAGAAAATCATTCTGTATTAATTAATAGTATTTGCTTTCATGAAAACTCAATTCATGAAACTTTTATCAGAAATCCATTTATCTATCATATATTTAAAACCATATGTACATTTACAACTTATTTTGAATTTTTTATTCTTTCAATAGTTTTGATAATTTCTTGCATAATTATCCAATTTACATTTTAATTCTACTTTTTTCAGATCTGATAATACTTCTTTGAGGGAAGATATTACAGGTATAATGTTTCCTGATAACATAATAAGTATGAATAATGATAATGTCCCAAGGTTTCTGTGTTCTCTATATAGTGATAAAATAAAAAGGCTTTCTAGGAGTCAATGATGTCAACACATTTCTCATTCAAATTGCTCAAGTTTCCTAGTATTTTTTATCCTACTCTCATATATTACACCCTGGTCATAATTTTCCCTCTTTGCCCTCCCCCAGAATCTCCCCTCTCTTTCCCAAACATGGCATAATATGCTACTATAAGACTGGGAAATACAGCAACAGGAGGAAAAGGGTAGCATAAGCAGGCCCCAGAATAAGTGATCATCCACCTCCCACTGCTAGGAATCCCACAATAACATTAGGCTATTTAGCAATAACATATATGCATAGGGCCTGGGTAAGGCTACCAACAGTCTCCCTGATCTCTGTGAGCCCCTATGAGTACCAGACAATTTCTCTGTGGGCAATGTTCCTGTCTGTCTCTGACTCCTCTGGTTCCTCTGATTCTTCTTTTGGAAGTATTTTTCAAATGTATACTTGCATTAAATGGAAAACTGAAGCAAATGGCAAATTTCTAAACTTGTGCAACCTACCAAAACTGCAAAGAGAGTATATAAAAACCAAAACAGATCAATAAACAGAAACATAGCTCAGTATTTATTGAAGAAAAAAAATCTCATTAATAAATTTTGGTTCACTGACATGATCAGGTTCTATCTTATTGAATAGCTGAAGATGGGCTCCACAAAAACCCCCAAAGCTCACATGTAATCCTAAGACTGCTGCTTATATGCAGCCTTATTGTTATGTCTTATTGTTGACAACAACACAAATATATGTTAGTCAATATGGAAAAGTTGAGCGGGTATGTAACTAGAAGCTTCACCACTACTGACTGACAATCATGACACAGGAATATACTCTGCAGTGCCGTGAAGGAGAAAGACAATCGTCAATATCACCCAGCTACAAACCCTAGAACAACAATGACCCATATGCAAAATAGACTGAAGCAATAATGGCATAAGCACTCTGTCCATAATCAGCCACTTTTTTATTGGTTTTAAGGCCCACTCCAGGAAATGGGAACTGTAAAGGAAACTGCTAATGTGGTCAAGGAACTGAGTAGACAGATCATGGGCCTTTGGGGAAACGTGATGCTATTATCCTGCTAAAGGAACATAGTGATAAAATGACTTTTGATGACATAGTGCTGTACTGAGAGATTAATGTTTCAAACAGCATACACCAGTGAAACTCTCTTGCAGGAGATGGAACTAACAAAGAGACTCATAACAATGTGGAGAGAGTGTGAGACTTTCTATAACTTAGTTCTAGATGGGATAGCTTCATGAAATTCACCCCTCAAGCTTTAGGGAGCAATTGAGGAGAGGAGACCGAAAGACATTAGGAGCCAGAGGTAATAGATGTTTCCAAGGAAGAAGATAACCACAGAGACAGATGAACACATGAACTCACATAGACTACAACAACACACAAGCATAAAAAGGTTCACGCTCGATAGGTGTTCTAGTAATGAAATGTGGAAGTGGAAACAAGTTTCCATGCCTACCTAGCCAAGAACACTTTTGCAATTGTTTCCTGGTGGCAAAGGAAGAATCAGTTTCCTCCAGTGAATTCTCACTGGGCATTTTAACCACTGCTCTTGATAGGACCCATGTGGGGAATCATTGGCAAACACATAAATCAGCTCAACAGAAATTGGTAGACTTTGGGGCTCATTTTCTTTTAGGAGGACCTTTTATAGGTATTGATTACATGGGTTGATTTTTCTTTTGGTTTGTGTTTTATTTTTTTAATATAAAGAGAGGAAGACCATAATACTAGATGGGTAGAGAGGGAGGAGGGTATGGGAGTAATTGGGAAAGGCAGAAAATGATAAAAACAATTGTACAAAAGAGTATCACTCCATAGCTAATGGGCTCCCAAAGCCATTATGCACTAGGGATAAATATCGGTTCCACTGCCAGCTGGATCATAGAATGCCAAGATCTCCCCACTGACACCCACGTTCAGGGACCCAGTTTCATTCTTAGGCAGACACCTATCCTTTTATTGGAAGCTTTTACTGTAGGGAAGAGGCTACCAAAAAGGACTGGTACCTGGCTTGTATTCTTATTGGGACTTTTGCTCTAGGGGAGGGGGCAATTAGGAGGAGCTTAATCCTGCTATATGTGGGGCTTTGTCCTGCAAGGGAAAATACCTGGTAGAAACAGACAGCAATGTATTGTATGAGGGTTTTAGTTACAGAAGAGGGTAGAGCTTGTAGGATATGCATTTGGTTGCCAGAGTTGGGCTTAGGTTAAATGGAATGATATATAGCAGTAAGTAACTGAGACAAAAGACGAGAGAGAGAGAGACAGAGAGACAGAGAGACAGAGAGACAGAGAGACAGAGACAGAGACAGAGAGACAGAGAGACAGAGAGACGAGAGACAGAGAGAGAGAGACTTTTGTATTTCATAGACATTCATACACAGCAGGACTAGAAAACTAAGTCTGTGTGTGTGTGTGTGCACTTGTGTGAGTTCCTGAGTGTGCACATGTGTGTGTGTGTTTATAGATACTTTAACCTCACACAACTTATCACCTCCCATGTATGCATGTGTATATGTGTGTCAGTGGCTATAGAAGAGGGGATTCTGAGCAGTACATGACTCCAAAATCTGCATGGGGAGGTTGTGGCTCTCAGGTTGAGGACACCTTGAAGGATATGACACCTAGCCATGTATAGAGGGCTTTGATTGTAAGGGAATGGAAAATGTTTCAGGGCCTGGCATCATGATATGTTGTTTTTGTATGGGGGCAGAGGGGGCTTGGACTATGCCTGGAGGATTCCCTCTGGACCCAACACCTTTCTTTCTCTCTTGCCCTCGGGCTTTTCTGTTTCTACATCCTCTTCCTCTCACTCTCTCTCTTCCTTTCCTTCTCCCTCTCACTCCCGTGTGTTTGTGTATTTATAACTTGGCTATTCCGGATTTGGAACTTTTCACTTCCTCCCTCATCATCTAATCCCTCCTGCCACCTTCCTTCCATCTTCTACCTCAGCTTATCCCATGTAACAGCCAAACATGCACCCTTTAATGTGTTAAATGCATGTATGTGTGTGGTTTTGTACTCATACACAGACACATGAATTTCTAACATACTGAGTACATTGAGCTTTGTTCACTTGTATGGGTGTGCAGAGCAAACCACTGGGGACTCAACAACCTAGGTGGGAGCTGGTCCATGGAGGAAACTGATTCTCCCTGTCTCCAGAGGTACTAATAACCTGTAACACTTCTGGTGGTGTTCCATGTGGAATTGACCTTGACTGTATTTGCATATGAACTGCTCTTGTCATACTTGTCTTGCATGTGTAAACACATTATTGAGAGGCAGAGCTAACCTATCCCATAAAAGACAAAATTGCACCTTCATCAATCTAGATTTAGCATGGCATAGTCACATCTCTGCATTTTGACCAGTTTTGAGTCTCTGTAATAGTCTGGTATTTCAAAAGGAAGGTGCTTTATGAGGGCCACCTGCTATATTTATATGTGAGTTCAACAATATACATTTGGAATACAGTTAAATATTACATTGGCTTAATATAATGGAAGTAGTAGTTTTCTTTTACTCTTTGGTCCATGACATCTCCAGCCAAGGTTAGTTATCTAGGTTTACAATACCAAACATGTATTTCCTTAGACAGATAAGTAGTGAGAACAGGAGCTTCTAACTAAATGTAGGCTTTTCATTTTTTGCAGACATGGGCTCAGCAGATCTAACATTGAAGATGAATAGATACTTCCTTAGACTTGTGACTT